TTTTGAGTTTACTAGTTCTAATTGGTATACCATAGATTCTATGGTATACCAATTAGATGAATAATAATCTATTTATTTGGATATCTATATATCGTGAAGGATAAAAGTGACATTGACTTCATGGGATTAGGGCTAAAACAGAACTTTTAACCCAAGAGGCACAAAAAATATATTTTGGAATTCAAATATCACACTCAATTCACTCATTCAAATATACGGAGTGATGAATAGAAACTTAGTGGTCAAAAATTTAATTTCTGTAAATGAAATTTATCGTATTTGAATTTGGTGATGGAAATAAAATCAAATACAAAAAAAAAACATAACAAGATTAAAAGTATTTTTCGAATTTAATATAATTTTAAAGCATTTTCGTTATATTTTCATATTAATTTCCATAGAACCTCCTTTAAAAATAATTATAAATTAGATTAGCGAAAATAAAGGAATATCTAGATATATTTGAAAAACAAATGTAATTTGAGGTATTTTAATGTACGCAAGTATATCAAGAGACAACACTTTCTACTTTCGTACGAAATAAATCATACCTATTTCACATAATGTATTTGTTCTAAGTATCAGCATTTTCTATGGCTCCAAATGTAAAACAATTTGTGCTTACAACGGGTGATTTTTTTAACCTTAAACTTTCAAATATGTCCAACAAAAAGCACTCTACGAAAAATTTTTTCATAATTGCAGTTTAATTATTCCACAGAGAATTAGTGCCTTTCCCTTTCTCCTTGTAGATGTGGCGGGAGGTAACTCGGAAATAGATTGCAGATTCGGAATCTGTGGTTAAAAGTACGTGGGATTTTTTTCGAACCTATGCATACAATTGTGCAGTACATTTGCAATAAAAAATACCATGTTTTATGTAAATATTCGATTTTCATCCTCAAAAAAGTTTATTCAGTTTGCAAATTTTGAATAACTGAGAAATTGTTACCTATAGAAATGTAAATGGCTGGTGAATATACTTTTAGGAAACTAGGAACATGTTAATGTTATTTCTTTCTTTTGTACGTTTATTTTATGATTCTGCAATTACGAAAAAATACGAACAGAAGAAATAACGTTAAATGTAAACATAATAAAGCATTGTTATAAAAATCATTTTTAACAAAAGAAATGATGTTTTTAAAACAAAATATAAAAAACATTAATTAATTAAGTCATAGGTGAAGAAAATCATGTTGAGTAAGTATCCCAAAAAGGACACCTGTTCCTGGGTCACGATAGTAGGTACCTAGTAGTTACTTGACAAATTATTTTTCAGTAACTGAAAATTTGAGAAAAGAAATTTGTTTTAGAACTAATTTTGATTATTTACAGTGAAAACATGTTTATTTTTGCAAACGTATTGCAAAATCGTATGCACAGGTTCACAGTAGAGCAACTGAGAAAAATTGAATTTTGTCGATTACCGCGCCATCTATCATGGACAGAAAAAAACGTTTCAGACAAATCCTACGTACATCTAGTCGTAGAATCCGAATCTGTAATAAAAAATAGGGGTTCCTATTTAATATTTCAAAGTAACCCTTCGTCCTACCAATAAAGAGAGAGGAAGGGGGACTAATCTTAGTACTAATGTATTTCCTTTGTGGAATGATTAAATTTTGATTATGGACATTTTTTTCCTAAAGATATTTTAAAGATTCAAATACTTAAAGATATATCAGGTATTCCATTTAAAAAACAGTCACTTTTTGAACACTTTCATGTGTCTCCCTGTTTATTTCAAAATCATCAAATTCATTTTTAATTGAACATGTTTCTTTGGTATTTCGAATTTCGTATCTGGTATTTCTTTGGGTATCTCAAAGTAATAACAAAATAAATAATTGTATTTGCCACAATACCTATACTATACGAAACGAATGTAATTTGTAAAAGAAACAATTAATTGAACATATCAAAAGGTATTACTCTAATTCAACCCAATTCTAAAAGTTTTCGTAAAATTTTCATCCGATGAAATTATATACAGTGTAGGAAAGTACCGATGGTCTATCAGAAGTTACGTGAGAGCGTAAGATCCACTTCTTATTTGTGGAAGGGCGAAATAGGCGTTGACTATTAGACGCGTTCATTATAGCCATCCTTGTCTATCACATGGATTTCTATGGCTTACTTTATCGCTCTCACGTAATTTCTGATAGACCATCGGTACTTTCCTACACTGTATGTCCTTCATCATTATGCAAAGAGACAAGAGACAATTAATGCTATTGTAGGAACTAACTACTCTGTGGACTAAAATCCTGCCCAACCCTAGTCCGCAAAGCAGTTGTTTCTTAGAATATAATCAATTTGAAGTTGCTTTTTAACATACCTATACAGGGTGTCTCGCGGTGACGGCCCATTAGACTTATTTCAGAGACTACTTCGATTTGAATTTTAAAAATTTGGGATATTGTGTTTTTGGGCATGCCCTTCTCAACTAAAATAATGGCGCCTACGTACCACTTCTGGTTATACCGGAAGTCGCCCTCAACTTGCTTATTTTAAATGGAACACCCTATATATTATTGCAATTTTGGATTCTACGTGTTATTTTAGGTGGACGTTTATGAAGTTTCCCTATTCCTAAAATTAACCGTTTTCGAGATATTTAATTTTTTTCAAAAAAATGGACAGAAACAGTGACTAGCTTCAAACCATGTGTATTTTATAGTAAGAGAGATAAAGCAACAATATTTATAGGGAGGATAGCTAGACTCCTAAACTTCCCATCCATACTTTCAAAGTGGCTTAATTGCATGCAGGGTGTTAGAAATTTAATGCCAAGGATAGTTAACTTCAAACCTTCATAAGTCGGTTTTTTTTTAATGGAACACCCTGTATATTTATCTATATTCTGATACACAATTTTATTCTGTTTGGAACGGTATCACGGTTCTCTATACCTATCTCTTCTAGTTTTTAAGTTATCTACTATTTTTTGTGTAATCACCTAAAATCATGTGATTTCTTGCGAGGATAGCTGTGGAATTTTTAGCAAAACTTCAAAACAAACAACTAAACTGTCACCAGTTATTTATTATTATTTATTCACAGACGTTGCAATGGGATTCTAAGCAGAACATTTACAGTTTTTAATGAGACATATCCCAATTTTCCACCAATGGGCAGAATAAAGTTAAGAAGAATTCTAAAAAATCAACTTATTAATACACAGTTTTAATTATGTATGTTGATAATAATAATGCACTAAGATAAAAAAAATTACTTAAAAAAGTCATAAGTGTTAATATTGAACATTTATGACTTTTTTAAGACCCCCATTAACAGATAAGCACTTGTGGATTCTAGAGATTGCTATTTCAGCTGCAGGCAGTTCATGGAACGCTTTTCGTATTTGAGCAATAAAATCCTCTTTTGAAGCAACGGGTGTAGAATAAACTTTTTGCTTTATTACTCACAAACATAAAAATCTAATGGAGTGAGGTCGGGAGACCACACTATCTAATTCCACGGCCCTAGGCGTCTCATCCATCTATCTTCAAACATTTCAGTCAGCTGTTGATCGATTTGATTGTGACAGTGAGGTGGAACCCCGTCTAATTGATACCAACACTTCCTTAGTTGGTCTAAAGGTATATCATCTAGAAAACCTGCCACAACCGTTTGCAAAATATTGAGATATCTGTTGGCATTTAAATTTTGTTCGTAGATATGGTAAGAAATTTGGTTATCTTTAATTAGACAAAAAACATTTATGCTAAATTTATTTTGAAAGTTTCTTTCCCGGATAATATGAGGATTTTCAGATAACCACAAATGAGTAATATGTCTATTAAAAAATACCTTCTCTCGTAAATAAATTTTGACTCGTCGGTCCATATATGTTGCAAAAATTGTGGATCTTCTTGGTTTCACAAAATTGTACACGTTGCGCGGTGTCACCCGGATGACGAGTAGAAAGTAGCTTAAATTTGTATGGATGCATATCATTAATTCTTAACATCCTGTGAATGGACGCTCGTGAAATGCCTAAATCATACTCTGCGGCACAAGTTGAGGATTCTGGATGAACATTGAAATAGGCTAGCACATTTATTACATTATCTTCATTTGAAGTTATTGGTTTCGGTAAAATTCTTTCTGCACAAAATCCACCATACTCTAGTTGATTTGCTGAAATTTTTCTTAACTTTTTTTTGCTCATTAGTGGCAAATTTTGATATGTCTCATTAAAAACTGTACATGTTCTGCTTATAATCCCATTGCAAGGTCCGTAAATTAATAATAAATTCAAAATATCAGAATTTGAAGATGTATTGTTTTCCATTTCTTATAAACACTAAATTAAACTGCCACTGCGAGAGACTAACAATAAATTGACAGTTTAGTTATTTGTTTTGAATTTTTGCTAAAAATTCCACAGCTATCCTCGCAAGAAATTACATGATTTTAGGTGATTACACAAACCGTGATACCGTTCCAAAAAGAATAAAATTGTGTATCAGAATATAGAAAAACATACAGGGTGTTCCATTTAAAAAACCGACTTATGAAGGTTTGAAGGTAACTAAACTCGGCATTAAATTTCTAACACCCTGTATGCAATTAAGCCACTTTGAATGTCAATGGACTGAGACAGAACACAGGAAATACTGGACTTCAAGGCCAGGACATAGCCGTTCTAAGGAGTTCATGGAGTATCCTTCGAAGGAAAGAGCGAATGATCTACTGAGCTTGAACAGAATCCGGCTCAGGAGAGTGACNGAGTTTGCCATGAAAATCGAGCTCGAGAACGTGGTGTCAGATTTATCATATCTTTAGTAGTTTCTAAAATACCCTGAATTCCCATCGAAAATGGACCAGCCTGTAGGTATACTTTAGTATAAACTATAGACTGTATTACATAAATATTATCCTTTTATCGCCTTAGTACTACAAATTAATATGTTTATGTTGCCCTTACTATCTGAGTGAGTTGTATACATTTGATTTGTTTACATTTAGTTTGCAACTAATTAACAACTTACTTATTGAAAAGTGTTTCCAAGAGTTGAGCCGAATGGGGCAACCCCTCGACGAGTAAATCCAGGGGCAACTCGGTAGCCACAGCCGCGATGGTATTGTGCCCCAGTTTCTGCAGCACCGCCGCGGCCTCCCTGAACTGCCTGCCCTCCGAGAGCACCAGCACCCTCCGAAGGACCAGCCGCGGACTCGTGGGGGAGGCTCGCTCTCGCCGGATCCGGTCACCGCACTCGCGCATCTCAACACACCTGAGGTCTTCACGTGAATAACAGCTCCAGAAGCGGCTGGCAGTCTTCAGCGCGAGATGCCGAGTCTCGAAGGAACTTTTGCACCGCACCCGACACACTGACATACTTTCGGCGAGGATGTGAGGAGTAGAAATTGCTCTACGTCGGATGGGTGGAGTCCGTTTCATTTTTAGTAGTAATTTTCTTCCAAAATCGTACGCGTAAATCACCTGCCAAAAATTGTAGTTCAAAATCTAAACATAAGTTTGAAATATTTTTCGAAACTCAAAGGTTGAGAATCCTGAACTGCAATCAATGTTCCCTCTAATTTTTTCAATGACTGCGCGGTACAAATGTATATGGGAGCAAAAATGTTCAAAACGATTGGGGGTGGGGTGAGTGTCTTTGACTTAATAAAACACTAACAAGAAAAGATTTTTACATTTCAAACATTTTTTTGATCTTTTACTTTACTTTTTTTTTTGTGAAATTTGGATTTTTACCAATTTTTGATGCAATTCTGTTTTAAAATTGTAAAATTATTGAAATATGTCTCTGAAATAATTCTAATGGGCCGTCACCGTGAGACACCCTGTATATTGATGTTAAAGAGCCTAAATGATTTCATCAGATGAACATTTTTAACTTAATAACGTTTATAACAAATTAAAAATATAAATTAAAATCAAAAAAATTAAAAAAAATCATATCAACTATAGATTTCTTAGATATAAACATTATTTTTTCCACTACGTTAGTGGTATTATTTATAGTGATATATTTTTAGACATTTATACATATTTTATTCATAACTAATTCACAAATTTTATTGTGCTATACAGGAAGTCCATGGCAAACTTTAACAGCTGAGAGAATGAATTATTTTCATCGAGAAGATTCATGAGCATGGGGCGCAGAACGTTTCATTTTCGAGATATAGGGTGTTGAAATTAAAAAAAATATCATATTGTTCCAAATATCTCTGCTTTTCATTCCTAATCTTTAACAAAAAAATTCTTTGTCTTATTCGAACAATGAGTCGTTTTAGAAATATGACTTTTTGATTTTAAAATAAGCTTACTAAGCCATTGCATAATTAGAAAACAATATCAAATCTACTTTGTTTAATAAAAATAATACCTAAATGGGAATTTCTAATTTATGATATACTCTTTCAAATATTATATAATTTATTAAAAGTTAAAAATATTGGCATAAAAATTCTTAATTTTCTAAGGACATACACATCTCCTAAAATGATTTTTTGGACTTAATGGGTTAAATAAAACAGCATAAATTTTAAATCATGTTTGTTTTATAGCAATGTATTCAATTGTTAGACAAATTTGTTGAATTCGAATTCTTCTTCAAGTAAATGAAGTAAGTATTTTTTTTTCTTAGAAATGGTAATGAAAATTAAAACTGCTCATCTAATTTTTCGCCGAAATTTTAAGTTTTCGAATGCTATTGATACCTATTGGCGAATTCTTAGGACTAATTAAATAACCATTGACCCAATAAGTTTCATTACTGACGTTACATATTCTTAGACATATTTGAGAAAATCCGATACCTATATATTTCTTCAATTTCAAGATTTTGTATCTCGAAAATGAAACGTCTTTTTATATTGAAACAAAACAAAAATGGTTGTTCAACCACCTAGTGAAGTTCTTAACTAAAATCTAGACTACCCTGCAGGCTGGTCCATTTTCGATGGGATTTCAGGGTATCTCAGAAATTACTAAAGATATGATAAATCTGACACCACGTTCTCGAGCTCGATTTTCATGGCAAACTCGACTGTCAAATCAGAAATTTGCTATCTTCATTTGTTTCTCAGTTACAGGGCGTTTCTCGTTATTGTGACACTTTTGGACATGTCTGTATCTCAGCTGTTAAATAAGTTAGAGTTAAAGTGAAAACTGCTCAAGACTAATTCTTTGGCGTAGAATTGAATGTCGGTATTAGATTTTTAGTAGGTCTTAAGATTCCGGAGTTATGACCCAAAGTTATAATTTTTTAAATGGAAATCGTAGCTGGTTATGACCTAAAAAAATGGAGATTTTTTTTTGCTTTTCAGCAATATACCACATGCTATAGTTATTTTTCCAAACACAGAAGATACGGGGTGTTTTATATATAAATTCGATCCTTTTTACATTTTAATATGGCTGGCTATGAAAATACATACAAAACTATAATTCTTACTTTTACAAAACTCATATCTGTTGTAAAAATATGACGTTTATTTAAAATATATATTACAGATAAGAAAAGACAGAGTTTTCAAATTTTTATTCCACTTCAACTGAAGTTACGATATTAAACGTAAATTAAACAATAGTAAGTACCTACATGAATAAAAACTTTTAAAAATGACAGCTAAATGTTCAAATTACCGTCCATCAACTTCACACTTTTCACGCATTTTCTGGCAACGCTTCGGGTAGCATTCATTAAATGTATATTTGAAATATTATTAAAAGGAATTTTAAATATAATGTCTTTTAGAAAACCCCAAAGAAAAAAGTTCAACGGACTCAAGCCAGGTAACCTAGCTCCCATCTGATCGGCCCGTTTGTTCCTATCCACCTATCTCCTAAAATTTCGTTAATATTATATTATCACACGAGTATATGTTGTGCATTTAAAATAAATGTTATATTTTTACAACAGATATGACTTTTGTAAAAGTAAGAAAATAACTATAGCATGTGATATATTGCTGAAAAGCGGAAAAATCTCTATTTTTTTAGGCCATGGTCAGCTACGATTTCCATTTAAAAAAATATAACTTTTGGTCATAACTCCTAAATCTTAAGATCTACTAAAAAATCTATTACCGGCATTCAATTCTACGCCAAAGAATTAGTCTTGAGCAGTTTTCACTTTAACTCTAACTTATTTAATAGCTGAGATACAGATATGTTAAAAAGTGTCACAATAACGAAAAACGCCCTGTAACTTGGAAACAAATGAAGATAGCAAATTTCTCATCTGACAGTCGAGTTTGCCATGAAAATCGAGCTCGAGAACGTGGTGTCAGATTTATCATATCTTTAGTAGTTTCTAAAATACCCTGAATTCCCATCGAAAATGGACCAGCCTGTAGGTATACTTTAGTATAAACTATAGACTGTATAACATAAATATTATCCTTTTATCGCCTTAGTACTACAAATTAATATGTTTATGTTGCCCTTACTATCTGAGTGAGTTGTATACATTTGATTTGTTTACATTTAGTTTGCAACTAATTAACAACTTACTTATTGAAAAGTGTTTCCAAGAGTTGAGCCGAATGGGGCAACCCCTCGACGAGTAAATCCAGGGGCAACTCGGTAGCCACAGCCGCGATGGTATTGTGCCCCAGTTTCTGCAGCACCGCCGCGGCCTCCCTGAACTGCCTGCCCTCCGAGAGCACCAGCACCCTCCGAAGGACCAGCCGCGGACTCGTGGGGGAGGCTCGCTCTCGCCGGATCCGGTCACCGCACTCGCGCATCTCAACACACCTGAGGTCTTCACGTGAATAACAGCTCCAGAAGCGGCTGGCAGTCTTCAGCGCGAGATGCCGAGTCTCGAAGGAACTTTTGCACCGCACCCGACACACTGACATACTTTCGGCGAGGATGTGAGGAGTAGAAATTGCTCTACGTCGGATGGGTGGAGTCCGTTTCATTTTTAGTAGTAATTTTCTTCCAAAATCGTACGCGTAAATCACCTGCCAAAAATTGTAGTTCAAAATCTAAACATAAGTTTGAAATATTTTTCGAAACTCAAAGGTTGAGAATCCTGAACTGCAATCAATGTTCCCTCTAATTTTTTCAATGACTGCGCGGTACAAATGTATATGGGAGCAAAAATGTTCAAAACGATTGGGGGTGGGGTGAGTGTCTTTGACTTAATAAAACACTAACAAGAAAAGATTTTTACATTTCAAACATTTTTTTGATCTTTTACTTTACTTTTTTTTTGTGAAATTTGGATTTTTACCAATTTTTGATGCAATTCTGTTTTAAAATTGTAAAATTATTGAAATATACTCAAGTTACTTATACAAAAACCATCCCCATTCTTACCAATGCCTACTTTTAATGTGTTTATATTTCTCAGCTGAATGTTTAACGGCTCTTGCCCATAAATTAAAAATGCTTATAAACAATATAGGGCCTATATTAAAGGCTATTGATTATGTTCTTTAGATAGGAACTACAACGTAACAGAAATTTTATTGTTTGATATGTTCAATTGACCCTAAAAAATGATAAAACCGCGGAGTGCTACCCCTTAAAGGGGTGCGTTTTTGAGAACGAAGTAAAAAGGTGGTATTTTCAGTTTTTTGAGTTTTACTCGAAAACTATGCATTTTTTCACTATAGTTGTCACCAGAAAAGTTGTAGCAAATTGAATTTCCAATCGAAATGAGAAGTCAAAAAAAATATTTTTAACAAAAATATGCCGAAAAAACGAGTAAAAAAACCCGAAAAAATGCGTTTTTTTCTTTTTGGTTTTTGGCCCACAACTTTTTTCTGAGAGGAGTTAGATATAGGCATTGCTTCACAGAAAAAAAAGAGTTAATGTTTTTTCCTTTAAAATAAGTCTGTATAAAAGTACCTACGACTAATAGAAACCGAGATACATTGAATCAAAGTTGGCTACTTTTTAGATTTTTCGCCAATTTTTGCCCTTTTTGGACGATTTTCGTCTTACACCAGGCACCATTTTAAAGGTCTTGAAACCAGCTTTTATTTGAATATGGCATTACATATACCTAAATTATCACAGAAAAAAGTTATAAGATGAAAATCGTCAAAAAGGGCATAAATTGGCCAAAAATCCAAAAAGTAGCCAACTTTGATCCAATGTATCTCGGTTTCTATTAGTCGTAGGTACTTTTATAAACGTTTATTTTAAAGGAAAAAACATTAACTCTTTTTCTGTGAAGCAATGCCTATACCTAACTCCTCTCAGAAAAAAGTTGTGAGCCAAAAACGAAAAAGAAAAAAACG